GTTGTCGCCGTCGAGAACGTAACCGTCGCCGGCCCGATTACACCGTCTGTTTTCCCGGCGATTCGTTCGGAATAATCGCAAATCATTTCATCACGGCTTCTCTCTGTTAGTGTTCTCCGGTCCGATTTTCTCTAATTCCTTTGTTTCCGAATCGTTTTCTCTTAAGGTATGTTATTGGTTCAAAGTATCAACTGCTACATCGTTTTAATAACCATCGATTGGAGTTCTGTAATCAATCGTAGTTAATAATCTCTGCGTTAATTTGGTCCTGCTTTTGCTTATTCGATTGTTTCGTATTTGAATCGTTTTCGTGTTTAACGATTCATATCATCGAATTCGATTTGATTTGATTTCGGAGACCAAGAGCTTCGTGCTGACTTCAATATACTTTTAGCCAAAAACTTGATCAACATTATAATCTTTTTGTGTTTGTTTGAATGTGAATAGTGTAGTCCCCGTGTTAAAATTTAATATGAATAGTTTCTAGTTGATAAATTTTGTCAAAAGGACATGAATATCATTAATATGTTATATTGATACAGATTTTTTTTTCACGACTTGTAAATGAAAATGTGTTTGGTAGTGAATTGTATTTGAGAATGAAATTCTGATTTGCAGTTTCTATATGTCTAACAGGTGATCAAGATGATTGGATCATTTCTGACAAGAGGGCTTATGTATGCTACTACTTAACACTGATCTAATCCTTTTAGTTTCTTAAGCACATTTGTTAAAACGAAGTAATGAATCTTTCAATTTTTTACAGAATGGCGTTTGGATATGCATATCCTGCTTATGAATGCTTCAAAACGGTCGAACAGAACAAGCCTGAGATTCAACAGCTCCAGTTCTGGTGCCAATATTGGTATATATCGATGAGCTTCTCGTGCATTCTTTTCTTGATCTCTACCTTGGTCTTTACGTCTTCTTGAAAACATTTTGCAGGATTCTTGTTGCTGCTTTGACAATCTTCGAAAGGGTTGGTGATGCTCTTGTTCCGTGGTAAGTTGTTACTGACTTTAGATACTCACAGAAATTGTTGTATTCTTATCTGTTGTCCTGTTTTCTTCAAGGTTACCGATGTATAGCGAGGCGAAGTTGGCATTCTTCATTTATCTCTGGTTACCGAAAACCAAAGTAAGCAATATCTTTTTTTAAGCTTATGATTCCACTGACCTTACTCTCTAATTCCATTTCCTCTGTGTATAACCATCTCAGGGAACGACATACGTTTACGACGCTTTCTTCAAACCGTATGTCTCAAAGCACGAAAACGAAATCGACCGCAACTTAATTGAGCTAAAGACCAGAGCCGGAGATATGGCAATGACGTATCTCCAAAAAGTAATCTACTATGGACAGACAAGATTCTATGAGATCTTACAGTATGTTTCAGAACAATCATCACCAAAACTTCTGTCTAAGGTAAAATAATATATCATTTCTTCACATTACATTTGCATAATAGTTGTAAAAAAATCTTATCCTTTTTGTATCTAACAACAGGAAAATAAACTGACAACAACAACTGAACTTGATGATCCAAATCTTACGGTGAAACAAAACAAAACTTCTAATGAGATAGAGTCATCTACGAAGTAACGCTAAAATCTGACTCGTGGTTCGTGGGAACTTTGCATCATCATCATCTTGTTTCTTTTTAATCATATATGGTTAGTATCAGTTTCTTCACATTTCGGATGTAATTGTAAATGGCTTCGGAAGACAAACGAATAAAGTTGAATCTATTGAAGTTGGTTTAGTATTATAGTACAAGAATATGGCTTATTATGGGCCTAAAGCCCAAATCCTTTTCCACACGTTTGTCATGGCCCAATTGCTTGTCGGTCC